CCGCATCATCCCGTCGTCGCGCTCGAGTTCCCGGCGTCCAGAACTTCCAGGCCCCGCCGAGCGTCGGTGCCGTGTTTATTCGTGATCGGCGAGGTCCCGAGTTTGCCTTTGACGTGTACCTGTTGTATTGTTCTCGTGTGCCGTGTGTGGCCTGCATCATTCCCTATCATTCCGGAAGATTGAGCCCGGTGCCTTCCGCGCACTTCGCAACTTCTCCCCGTCGCTCACTCTGCATTCGAACATCGCGAAGCGCTTCTTCTGAAATATGGCTATCAAGGCTCGTATGTGCTGCTGTTGGGCGTCGTCAGGCGTTATATGCGCTGTCGAGTCGGCGCTTCAGAGTTCCGGCGACGTTTCCGACATTCCGAAGAACTAGTTTCGTCGGCCCGCGTATTGGAACTTTGTCTGTGGCTTATCCTCTTGCGATATAGCACTCGCCACCGAGGGGGGAACGCGGAGGACTTTTGGGTATAGGGTGCGAGGCTATTACTCGATGCGGGTGACAGGGAAGTCCTGCCAACGCCACATTGGATCGATCTACGACCCGTTGCGCCCTGAATTGCGGTCGCGACCCGCTGCGTCTAGACGTAAACCGGGTCTGGTGAGATGTCTAGGAGGGTATATTGGGTGGGCTGGGCGCGTAGATTGTGGTATAAAGGTGTCCTGTGGTGGCTGTGCTTGTTCGAGTCTTCCTCTCTTGAACCCTCGGACCTCTGTGTATATCTCCGGTGTCGCTTGCTCGGACGGGATGGGTCAACGATATCTCTTGTACGTTGTGGTTCTCAAGCTTGGCAGGACGGGGCATGTTGAGCTGAGTGATGATATGGTAGAGTCAACGCTGATAAGCAAGAGCGTCATGGTGCAGTCGACGGACATATGCACGAGTTCATATTCGGAGGCCTTGAGCCCGTCGCCAAACTCCTGACGATACCCGTCCAGCGCCAATCTATGCCCGAATCATGGTACGTCTCCCAACCCCACCCCCGCACCTATCTACATCTGCATCTTCATCTTCATCTACCCTGCATCTTACCCCGTCTAACCCGGCCTTCATAGTCTATCGCACGAAGGCACGCAACGCTCATCCCTGGGCTCGCTCTGCCTCCCCACGGAATTACTAGACTTGATCTTCGCAAGGCTCGATATCATGGACGCGTTCTGTTTGGCCGTTGCGAATAGCTTGTTGTGCGAGATTAGCTGGAGACATGTTTGTAGGAAACGGGACGCGTTGGTTTCGAGTTGGGCGGATGATAGGATCGTTTGTCTGAGCGACTACGCCGACTCTGTGCCTCCACCCCTCTCTACGCCCAACCTAGCTACGCCCAATTCAACATCACAACCGACTCAAACCGAACTGAACTACACCTCCGCATCCCGCTTCACATCCGTCGGCACCGTCCGCAAAATCGGCATCCCCTCTATCGCGCTCTGCGACATCGTCCTAGAACGAATGATGAACGTCCGCGACATTAAGCGCTGCGGGATGTTGCTCGGCGCAACCGAACCATGGTACCCTGCCGACCGGGCCTGGGCGCTGGCCAATATATCAAGACGGCAATATATCCTCGCGCAAGATGTCGGGATGTTGACGGATCATGTCGTCGAGGGGCCGTTCGTGCAGTCGGATTGGAATTTGGGGAATGTTGTTGTTGCTCTTACGGCTTGGAGCGGGAGCGGGAAGGGGAGTGGGAAGGGGGCGGTGGGGTGCAGGAGGGTGGAGGGGATGTGGGCGGGGGAGAGGGTGAGGATTTGTACGGTCGAGTCGTTAGTGGGAGATTGGGAAGATGTTTCGAGTGAGGTCGTACCGCTTGTGGGACGGTTTTTGGAAGGGATGTATGCGGGGGATGTGATGGAGGATTATGCGGATTATTATGGACCGAGTATTTAGCGCTGTTGTTGTTGACGTGTCTCGTACTTATGAATGCTATTTATCACGTATTTGCTTATATATTGCATATCTACTGTCCCTATAGCTTTGAGTGAGCTGCTCTGGCTACGACTGTAGTGGACGCCCATGGGCGTAGGTGGAGGACTGGCGAAGCAAGCCCACTGAACCAGTCGCGACTTGCCACGTCGCGTCACAGCGCGTCTCGCGGGAAAACCATGTGACCGCGAATTTCCTGGAAAGCGCGTTCTGCTTTCGGGCCGTGTACTTTTGCGTCGGAGTCACCGATGCTTCGAGCGCATCGATATCTGCTCTCCTCACGCCTGCCATCTCGTCGTCTGGCCCTAAGACACATGTCCACGCCGAACGACTCCCCGGCCCCGGGATCGCCCGCCCCGCCAGCTGGCGGCGCTGCGCCGAACTCCAAGAACGCAGGTGTGTACTCGTGTGCTGTAATCTATATAGGAAGATCGGGCTGATGTATTGGTATATAGCGAAGAACGAGGCGAAGAGGTTGGCCAAAGAGGCCAAGCTTGCTGCTAAATCTGCCAAGGTCGGCGCGAGCACTGCTGCTGGCGAGAAGAAGGCAAAGGCGGAGAAGGAGAAGAAGGAGGCCGAGCCTGAGTTTGTGAACACAACCCCGGCTGGTCAAAAGAAGGGCGCGTGACATATCCTCCGATCGTGTATACTCATATTAATGCAATCATATAGATATGTCTGTGCCCATGGCGGCCGGATACAACCCGATCGCAGTCGAGTCTGCCTGGTACGACTGGTGGCTCGAGCAGGGCTTCTTCAAGCCAGAGTTCGCACCAGACGGCAAGATCAAGCCGGCAGGATCCTTCGTTATCCCTTCCCCACCGCCAAACGTCACCGGTAGCCTGCACATCGGCCACGCGTTGACGACTGCCATCCAGGACTGTCTGATGCGCTGGTGCGTCTATGTTCTCACGTGTCATTATGACTCTGAAATGCTGATGTATGTTTCAGGAATCGCATGTTGGGAAAGACCGTGCTGTTTGTGCCGGGATTCGATCATGCTGGTATCTCTACACAGGCTGTTGTTGAGAAGAGGCTATACAAGACCGAGGGCAAGACGCGCCACGATCTCGGTCGCGAGAAGTTCCTTGAGACCGTTATGGACTGGAAGAACGAGTACGTGGTCACGCGTGCCGATGTATCTGTCAACTGAACGTTTACAGGTATCAGGAGCGTATCACAAAACAACTCTACCGTCTCGGTGGAAGCTACGACTGGTCGCGTTCGGCCTTTACCATGAGCCCGCAACTATCCAAAGCCGTCATCGAGAACTTCTGCCGCTTGCACGAAGAAGGCCTTCTCTACCGCGCCAACCGCCTCGTCAACTGGTGTGTCCGCCTCAACACGACACTCTCCAACCTTGAGGTCGACCAAAAGCAACTGACTGGACGGACGCTGCTTAACGTGCCGGGCTATGACGCGAAGGAGAAGTTCGAGTTTGGTGTCATTACCTCGTTTGCGTACGAGATTGATGGCTCGGGTACGTCTCAGTCTGGACGTAACGACCTATTTGCTCAAGCTCTGTTGCTGTAGACGAGAAGATCATCGTCGCCACCACTCGTCCGGAAACTATGCTCGGTGATACCGCCGTCGCCGTCCACCCAGAGGACCCGCGATACAAGGTGCGCTTCATCCCAATCTCAATATAGCAACCCAGTCTGACTTCAGTCTCCATGCATAGCATCTCCACGGCAAATTCGTCAAGCACCCCTTCGTCGACCGCAAGATCCCCATTGTCTTGGACGACATCGTCGTCGACATGGAGTTCGGCACCGGAGCCGTCAAGATCACGCCCGCGCACGATCCGAACGATTATGAAGTTGGCAAACGTCATAATCTCGAGTTCATCAATATTTTGAATGATGATGGGACGTTCAATGCGAATGCTGGGGAGACGTTCAAGGTATGTGTTTGATTGCTGTGAGAGTTGGACTGGGGGACTGATACGGTGGCGGGTCGTGTAGGGCATGAAGCGATTCCATGCGCGTGTGGAGGTCGTCATGAAGCTGAAAGAGCTTGGGTTGTACGTTGAGACCAAGGACAACCCTATGACGATCCCGATCTGCAGGTATGCTCTACGAAGGTCTGGGCCGTGCCAATCTCTGACATTAACACAGCAAATCCGGCGACGTGATCGAGCCCTTGCTCAAGCCGCAATGGTGGGTTAATTGCAAGCCGCTCGCGGAGGAGGCTCTCAAGGTCAGCACCCGCACTCGGTCCAGTGATAGAACATGGACTCACGTTTATACCAGCGCACCCGTGCCGGCGAGCTTGTCATCAACCCGAAGCAGTCTGAGGGCGATTGGTACCGCTGGCTTGAGAACATTCAGGACTGGTGTGTCTCCCGTCAGCTATGGTGGGGCCACCGCTGCCCGGCGTACTTCGTCAAGCTCGAGGGTCAAGCCCAAGATGTACGCTCCTCTCGTCCTGTCTGCTGTGCATGTGTTGATACTTTACTTAGGCGAACGACGAGAAGCACTGGGTCGTCGGACGTACACTCGAAGAAGCGACCGCCCGCGCACAGAAGATCGCCGGCACGTCGAAGTTCACGCTCGAGCAAGACGAAGACGTCCTCGACACATGGTTCTCCTCCGGCCTCTGGCCCTTCTCCATCCTCGGCTGGCCCGACAAGACGCCGGACTTCGAGGCGTTCTACCCCGCCAGCCTGCTCGAGACCGGCTGGGACATCCTGCCCTTCTGGGTCGCGCGCATGGTCATGCTCGGGATCTTCCACACCGGCAAGGTGCCGTTCAACGAGGTCTTGTGCCACGCTATGATCCGCGACGCGCACGGGCGCAAGATGAGCAAGTCGCTCGGGAACGTTATCGATCCGCTGGACGTTATACAGGGGTTGCCGCTCGAGAAGCTCCACGAGAAGCTGTACGAGGGCAATCTGGACGAGAAGGAGATCTTGAAGGCTATTGCGGGGCAGAAGAAGGACTTCCCGAAGGGCATTCCGCAGTGCGGGACGGACGCGTTGCGGTTCGCGCTTTGTGCGTATGCGGGCGGGGGCAGGGATATCAATTTGGAGATCTTGAGGGTGGAGGGGTATAGGAAGTTTTGCAATAAGATCTTCAATGCGACGAAGTTTGCGATGCTCAAGTTGGATGGGTCGTTCATCCCGGAGGGCTCTGCAAAGGTGCGTGCATCGGTCGTAGATGTGGCTTGCTGGGATGTGAGACTAATGATGGCGTTTACAGCCTACTGGAAAGGAGTCGCTCGTGGAGAAGTGGATCTTGCATAAGCTCAACTTCGCCGCTGCGGAGATCAACAAGCAGTTGGCGGAGCGCAACTTTATGCAGGCTACGAACGTCGCGTACAACTTCTGGCTCTACGAGTTGTGCGACGTCTACATCGTGCGTGCCATCCCCTCATTCCCACTCGTTCTGCAAATGCTGAAGTTAGTTGCAGGAAGCAATGAAGCCCATGTCCGACCCCTCCGCATCCGAGACGACGCGCGTATCCGCCCAACAGACGCTCTACACCTGCCTCGACAACGGTCTCCGCCTCCTCCACCCCTTCATGCCCTTCGTAACCGAAGAACTCTGGCAGCGTCTCCCGCGCAGGCCGAACGACACCACGCCCTCCATCATGCTCGCGTCCTACCCCGTCCACGACGACGCGTCCGTCTTCGAAGACGCTGACAAGCAGTTCACGGCCGTGTTCGACGGGATCCGCGCAAGCCGCTCGCTCGCGTCTTCGTACAACCTCATGAGCGACGTTCAGCTTTACTTGCACGCACAAACGGACGCCGAAGCAACGCTGTTCACAAACGAACTGCCCACGATGCAAACGCTCATCAAGGGCTGCAAATCCATCACCGTTGTGCGCTCCGCGCACGAGATCCCTGCGGGGTGCGGAAGCTCGTTGTTGACTCCCACGCTCGCTGTGCATTTGCTTGTAAGGGGGCTGGTGGATCTGGACGCGGAGATCGCGAAGGCGGATAAGAAGTTGAGGTTGGCGGAGTTGAATCTGGAGAAGGTGGTTAAGCTGGAGGGGCAGGAGGATTATGAGGGGACTGTGCCGGCGAATGTGCGGTTGCTGAACGAGGAGAAGGTATGTTTTCATGGGATGCAGTGCAGAAAGAAGTCGTCCTGACGAGGGTTTGTGACAGCGCAAGACGTATGAGGCGGAGATTGCGACGCTTACGCAGAGTAGGGAGAACTTTGCGAAGCTGAAGTGAGCGTAGAGAGCCCAATTGTACCATATCTACTATAGTTCCGTTTGCTGGTGGCTCCACTCTATGATCCGACGTTTGAAGTGTGATTCTTGGAAACTGGCTTCTTGGAGTGGCGAGCTAGAGATTGTGTGATGAGGTCTTGAAGCTTGATGCTCGGCGCTTGACGGGCGACCGGAGACACTTGTGTCGATTTGCGCGTGGGTTCCCTAGCAGTATTGCATGTAGTTGTGTACTCCAGCATCGTACGATGTCTTGGCATGTGCAGACGGGTTCAAGTATGTGTGAACAGAAGCAGATGTAGCGCCCTGTAGCGCCACACATCACAACAACACTGAATGATACGCGGCGCACGTGGGGTTCTAAACCTACATCCCTAAAAGCCGGATGTAAACGACTACAGGCTTAGTTTACGCCCACCACCACCATTCATCGACCCGTGCAATGGGATTACCTGCACCTCGCAAAGAACTCCGCGCGCCTCGGCCGCCTTCACCCACAGAGGAGAGCGTTCCTCCGGTCGACGAGCTCCAAGATCTTACCACGGCTGCCGAGCAGCAGGTACCACCCAAGCTCCGCAGGGTCATTTCTGGCCAGGAAGCCCAGCCGGCGCCCTTTCCTCCTCCTACTCAGCTGTCTCATGACGCGCCCACGCAAACGCCTGCGCCCAACCCTCGTCGCGTGAAACAACGAGAGCGTCGTCGCCCACCGCGCAAAAACAGCCGGCATTGCATGCACACGTGCGATGACGCCAATCAGACGTGCAATCGGACTATCTATGGCAAAAACAAAAACTTCCTCACGCATATCGGCAGTCACTCCCAGAAGACGCACAGTGAGTGCCATCCGGATTGCCCGGGATACCAATATCTTGGTGCTGTGGCGTGTACGTCTTGTGTTTGTCTATCATAGTAACGCTGTTGGTTCTGAATAAGTTTATAGGGGCTAAGATCGAACAAATGCCCCATGGTTCGGCGTAGTTTGAGACCACAAATGGGTCGTGACTCTCGGCCTGGATGCTCTGTATACAACCTGATCATGTTGTTATGTTTGGAATGCCGAATATGCGCCGTCAATGCTTGTGCTGTATTGTAGTCAATCTTCCCCTTTAATAAGCCATGTTGCTATCTTGTTGCTCTTTGAATCCACGAGCGCGGCCCAGGCAGCCCAACGTCTGTCACCGGAGAGGTCGCTCAATCTCATGTGACCGCGTCATGAAGAGCAATGCGCCAAATGCTGGTAGCCGTACGGAATTAATCCTCCCAAGCTTGCCATATACATTGGCGTATATGTTGGTGCATGAGTGGCGCTAGTACGTGAGAGGTTTGAAGAGAGCATGGTGGTCGTCAGAGTCCAACCACAAAAGCATGCTGGGAAGCAGGGCGCCTCGTGCCCTCAGACGCGTCTCCAGTCGCGAACCGCGCGGCGCGACTTGCACCATGACCCCCAGGATGCTCCCCCGCGAACCACCGGCAAAGCGACGCAGAATTACATCTCATGGCGCTCCGAAGACATCTTCGACAACTTTCTCTGATAATGGCATCAAATCTGTGACGACGCCGACAGCGAAGAAGGCGGGCGCGGGTAGATGTTCGACGTGCCACCGCGCCGTCGGCGGATCTGCACAGATTCTACAGTGTGCAAGGTGAATTATCCACTTCCTGAGCGCGTAGAATGTTTGAACCGACGAATATACGTGCAGATGCGAAGCGCCGACGTGTCCAGTCTGCACACGGACATGTACCGCTGTACCACCGACGCGCGAGCCCACGCCGGCGCTTTCCTTTTCCTCGAGCACGTCGCCACCCACTCCCACGCCCTCCCCACGCCGAGCTGCGCTTTCCCTCGCCACAAACACAAACGAGGCTACGGTAAACGCCGCACGAAGGCGGAAACATGAGGATGATGAGGAGGGTGTGGGGATTGGGAAGGAGATGGATGCGGAAGGGTGGAGGCAAGGTTGTGGGAGGGTCGTTTGTAGGGCTTGTTGTACAGAGTCGATACAGAGGTGAGGAGCAATTGGTTATCCTTACATGAAATCGGATAACATGACTAATCAAACAATGCACACTAGTTGCACAGTTACCTGCCGCGACTGTCTCCTCGGAGGATACTCTTCTGCCACATCGGATATGGATTGAGCTCGTCGCCACATCAACTCTTGCATCCAGAATCGGACATCTTCATCCATCAACATTCACTCGCTCAGATGTTTTGCACCTATTCCTATTTGCTCTGCTATGCTCTCATGTCATCACCATCTCGTACATCAGTCACATACTAATCTATATCTAACTGGGATCATAAGCTCATGACGGACATTCGGTTCTCTATGTCAAGAAACAGATGACCCTGATGTGGCGCGTACGCTCTCATGCTCAGGCCAGAGTGCACGACACATTAGAGAAGCGTGCAACCACGGACTTCTCGTGCTCTCAGGATGCCGGATGGCCGGCAGATGCACGGTGACTTGCCGCGGCTTCGCTGGTATCTCAACACGGTGGTCGACATGGGCCAGAAATCTGCCTACACGATGGCAAGACGGGCTGCGTGGCCGATGAGAAGGCACATCGGGAGTTAGTTGACGAGATTGACAGCCGATACAGCCTTACAGGCCATGTCTTTTCAGATGAGGCCGACAAGACCGATCATGGAGGAGTTGTGGGGGGTGCAAGTCTACGACTCCAATGGGTATTGTCGGTATACACTGTCACTTCGTCTGCAATGAGACTCTTTCTATGGTCCTGTCGCCTTAGGCGATATTGCCCGGTGCATGACGCCGTGGCTGGTTTGAAGTCGCAAATATTGCCGAAAGCCGCGGCTGATCAGTTCGCGTGTCTGAAGGTCTGTCAGCGACCACCATCATGCCGCCATCTCTGGCTGACACACCCGTCAATATAGCACACTCGCTACATAACAGGATATCCTTTCCGAGATAGTATGTGTATGTCACGAAAGCGCGGCACTGCCGCTCATCGAGCTCGCCGACGCCGGAGATCAGGCGAGCTCGGGATGTGTCCCGGACGGACCTGTGAGCTTCGCTGCTCCTGCGAGCTTGTGCATGCGCACCAGACGAAGCTACTCATACCTGTACACAGCCACCATCACGGAGTACGATATCTGTCGATCTACGCCGGCTTCTCCTGACCACTTCCGTCTTCTTCTGCTCCTTTCGGAGGGAGGTTGTTAGCTAGACGCGCCTTGGCACCGTGCTGTCATTATGCGCCTGATGTCACACCGCTCCCTCATGAGGGCAGGTGAGTGACAGGGCCACAAGACGCGGACTACGTTCGCCGTCGCTCGTACTGGTATAAGAGCCGGTTGTCGTTGGCAGAGGCTGATCATTGAGCTCCGTCCTCATTCGATCTCTACGACCTTCAACTGTTCACGTTCACACCCCCTTTAAGCTTATCTTCGACGACACAACATGTTTTCATTCATCTCCATCGCTGCTGTTGTCGCTCTCGCCTCAGGCGTTGCCGCGGACTCTATTCCGGAGGGTTACCCTGCCAACTTCCGTTTCTACGGCAGTGAGCACTCTCCCCCACGAGACGACTTGAATGATCGCTGACCATCGCTCAAGACCAGTCCATCTGCCTCGGCTTCGCCGACGGTGGCTATAACGGCGCCTCAGTCGTCGGGACCGACTGTAACGACGCGTCCGCCGCGCTTTACCCCGTCTACGGCATCGGAAATGTTGGACAGATCGCGTACACCGACTGGTGTATCACCGCTGCTGGCGCGTCGCCGTCCTCGGACGTGACCGCCGTCGACTGCAGTGACGATCCCGCTCAGCTCTGGACTGTCACTGACTACGACACTATCGAGACTGCTGATGGCAAGTGCATCACGCTCGGCAAGGCTGCTCTTGGTGCTCCGGTATGTTTAGGAGTGCATTTGAGTATTTCTTAAGTACTGACGCGCATATCATAGGCCACCCTCGCCGAATGCAGCCTTCAGCTCGCGAACAAGCAGCTCTGGAGGCCCACTGCCGCTGAGCCGTGATCTCACACGAGGGCAGATGGCTCGTATCGCGGCTCTTTACGATACACCAAGGACTTGATGTGGACACTTTGACTCTGATGTATCCGTGAATATCGCGTACAGGAGAATATTTCCATTCATGAACTATCAACCGCGTGAGCATGAGCGCGCAGAACCTCGTTCAACCCGTCCCTCTGCAAGCAGTTCTCAAAATGAAAGCTCCGCGCGAGCTCCTCCAGCTGTGGCTTCTCCATCCCATGCATATGCTCCGCCCATTCCTTCACGAGATATTCCGCTACGAGCGTCGCGCGTGCCAGACGGTTCACACGCTCTTCGACGCTCCAGTTCGGCCACGGGTATAGATGCTGGTGCGCCTCGTCAGGGACGTGCTCTTTGATCAGTTCTGCGATGGGCTGGTAGATGTTCTTGACGGCGGCGTCGTTCGAGCCCCATGAGTCGACTGCGAGCCGGTGTTTCTTGTGTAGGAAGTCTTTGAAGAGTTTGATGTAGGGCGTGTCGGGAGAGACGTGTACCATGCCTTGAAAGCCGATGTCTTTGTACAACCATATCGACCAACTCAAGCGATCCTGTCGGTTTATGTCAATGACCATGCGTTGGCTCAAATGTGCATGAGCTCACCTTCTGATACAAGCCAAGCTGTTCCTTGAGTACAGCATACCGGCGCTTGTTGATCGCATCCGTCTCCGCCCCCTCATATTCGCGACGCGCATACACAGGTCCCCACTCGCCATTCCACACACAAAGACCCCGCTCGTCCGTCCACGCCCTCTTCCTCGCGTACCCGCGCCGAATCTTCTCGCGCTGCTCATCCGTGCCTTCATACACCCCGCCCTTCGGAAAGCCGAACACGCTATAGTCGTGTATGGCGTATGCAACGTTGTCGCCCCAGCGTTCGCGCACGTTGTCTGGGAAGGCAGAGAAGTCTGCGGCGTAGGTGTTGCCGTCGAGGAAGATGATGTGTTTCGTGTCGATGGCGCGCACCGCGACGATGAGCCGGTCGTATACGCCTAGCAGGCGTTCCGCGCGCGGATGAGGGTCGGCGGGCTCATTCAAGAGGTTGTATCCCGCGATCCACGTGTTGTCCTTGTACCGCTCGGCAAACCGCTCCCACAACCATACCACACTATCTTGAAGATTACGATGACGCCAGAAAAGGCCGAGGTGTGTACCATGGTCCGAGTGCCAGCCGCCGTTCTGCCCTCCCGGAGCAGTGTGCAAGTCAATGATCGTGTATATCCCGTGTGCGGCGCATGCCGCGATTGCGCGGTCGAGGTGAGCAAACGCGTTTGGGCGGAGCACGCGAGGGTTCTCTTGCGATTCGAAGTGGCGGTGCGAGACGGCGATGCGGATGCAGTTGAGCGACAGGGAGTGGAAGAAGGCCGCGTCTGCTTCGGTGAAGAAGTGCTCTAGATACTATCGGGCTGAGCGAGTCGCATGGTATATGTATGGAGAGACGTACTCACCTTGTCAAAGAAGAACTCCGATTTCTCCTCTCCTAATACCTCGGCGAGTGCTTCGCGGATCTGGAACTCGCAGCCGGGAAAGCCGGATATGAAGTTCTCCATGCTGCACTCTATTAGACAGAGCTACGCCATAAAAGTGCATGTAACGTACGCCATCCTGTATGGCAATGTGTCAGCTTACAAGCAAGGCGGGCAGATGATGAAGCGTACCAGCCTCCCAGTCCAGCGCCGCGCAAGATCACTTCTTCCACCTCGCCATTCCCAACTTCACGCACAATTCTTGTACCGTCAACCCGTAGAAAGCCTTCCAACGACATGGTTGTGGTATATAGAGCTGGGCCATCCTATCTTTGAGTGCACTACGCTTCAAGTACTTTGCAGGCCCGTCAGATGATAGCGGGCCGACGGAGTTCACAGGTCGTAGTTGGCCGTAGTCCGACGAATCGCCGAAGGGTCACGCCAGACCATTAAGTATGCCACACAAAGCACGCCAGGGCACAAGCGCGTAGAAATATCAATATATGGCATTGAGGTGGTGGTGGTGGTCAGGAAGAGAGACGTGAGAAGCGGTAGATCTAAGATCAACGCACACACACGCACATCAGGGTTAGGGTTGGCGCGCAGCGTCGCGCCACATCTCAGCCTGCACATTCAGCCTGCCACAATCTATCACCGCCCCGCCTCAGATGCCTAGGCAATGTTGCATTCGCATACAATACAGTACAAGAGCCCGCGAATAAGAGATCGCCCGTGTTTTATTGGACTGGAACCGCATGAATACTTGGGTCGAGAATATGGATGAGAGGCACTTTCACATACAAGACAGACTGTAGGATGATAAGCAGGAGCCAGCGTTGTATCAAGATAGAGAGCCAGGTATTCGATGATTCGAGGCCTTAAGAGTTCTCGGACCAGCCCAGCTCGTTCAAGTATGAACGAGAACATCGTATTCTGTGGCAAACCTTTCGCGACCACCATACGGGACGTGAGCTACTCATAAGGTCACTTGTTGGCGCACGAACAACGACCTCAATGGAGCTCACCGTTTCCGCCAAACTTCACCTTGCCAATATGGACTCCATTATACATGCTTGCTCGTGCGGAGAACAGGGGTGTTCCGTCCGCTTCATTGCCAGCACTGGTGAAGTTGATCAGAATGCAAGAATCGATGCATGTCATGCGTAGCGGCTGGCTCACCGTACAGGTATAGCGCCGTCGAGCTTACCACGAGTCAGTCTCCCGGATATCGCCACCCAACGAAGGGACTGGCGAGGACCGACGAGCAACTCATAGCCTGTATACAGCTATGTTGGCGATGAGTGCACTGCATGGCTTTTCCATGATGCTGAATCCTATACCGACCCGAATTTCCATCCCTCCGTAGGAGAAATGGGTCTCAGAGCCGTCAGTCTTACCAGGATCTAGGTAGATGAAAAGACATGATCAGACTCGCGAGAATTGATAGGATGGGGGTTGTACTGACGAATGCCACCCTGGCTCCAGTGCATGAGCGCCCACGATCATGGAAAGATTCAACATGGTCGACAGACCTGATGCGTCGCACGAGCGACATAGAGTGCCCTCCCGTCTACCTCTCTGCCACCTTTGATTGCATTCAAAGAAGCGATTCCCTGCCAGTATCCCGAAGCGGGTACCTATATATGCTCGATGAGCGCACTATCACGCACATCATGACGAAGGACCACTCACCCATTCCACTTGGGATTCCGTCCGAGAGCTATCGCATCCTGCCGCCATAATACGTCTACACCAGCGCGTACAGCCCTTACCGTACTTCCACATACCCTGTATGAAGGGCGCTGGATGACCGTTCTCCCACGGTCCGGCGCACTCTATCTGATGCTCCAGATAAGGCTGTCTGCACATCGGGCACGAATAGGTATCGACATTGTCAATGCATCTGTGGCGATTCGCAAAGGCACTAATCAGTACTTGCACTAGGATACGTATGCGGTTCCGTGGCATACTGGCGGCAGAAAACATGCCCGCACGGGAGGTTGTGCATCTTGTGGTTCACGTTGAAGTCTTCCACGCAAATCGGGCAAGTGTCTTCGACATAGAGGTGCATGGTCGTGGTGGGTAGGGATGAGAGACGATCGTGGGTCACGCCTATGGATATCGGGATCGATGAGGATAGCCGCCAGGACATAGCGTGTCCAATAGGCGCCATGTACACAGGTTCATACCAGAACGCGCGCTTGAGTCGTCAATGGACCTATAGAAGCACCTTGAGTTGACGGGTCTTGCTAGTGTAGAGGGGCAGTGCACACCAAGATTGACATGCCGAGTTCACGATTCTTGGATGCGTATAGTTTCAGTGATACATGCCTCGCAGTGATGGTATGTCAACTGGAGATGGAGCTGCGAACGCCATCCGCGGAAGATGGCGGAATGAAACTTGACCCTCTCAGTACCCCAGAGACAAATCTGCGGGCCATAGCGCGCATAGACAGATCAACAGCTGCACTGCACATCCGTACATACGGACATAACAAACACATCACTGTTCAACATCTGACAATGATTGGCGACCTTGTCGGTACACAGCGTTATGGGGCCCCGAACAATGATGTATAAGCAGTACACTTGCTTAGACTAGCGGTGGTACTGTGGATACCATACTGAGTGTATTGTGTTGTCAATAGACTCTTGTCAACGCTGACAAGCAAGATTAGCCACGCCGCCACGGAGTTCGACCGTGAAGGTCCGGTCGTACGATCGGGCGCTACGGAGCAACGCAAGCGAGATAGGGCAAACTGGTAGTGTTCATACTGCTTGACAGAGTACCCGAGAGGTATGAAAGACACGATACAGCACGCGCCAGGAGCGATTGTGGAGGACACGGTGCATGATTGGACACGATGAGCGTTCACAACAAGCCAGCGCCCGACGGGCGACGCCGTTTCAAGTGGATCTTATCAGATTCCGCATTATCCGCAGCCGCCCGAGCCAGGTTGACGCGTTGCCTCTTGCCGCCATCTGTCTCCGTTTCTAATAAAATGCTGCGACGAGACCGGACAGGTATCCAGCGCCCTGGATCCGGGAGCGCGCGCTGCTCTTCATAAGCCGCCCTCCATGTTCGCTTTTGGTCGTATATCCTCTCGTCTTTCTCTTCCAGCTTCACGCTTGTTCTCTTCAACACCACCATCTGTCATTCCCACCATGTCTGCGAAGAAGAACATTGTCGTTGTGGGCGGGAGCTACACTGGCTCTAAGGCTGTGAGCGCGCTTGCGGAGAAGATGGGCTCCGGCTACCAAGTCCTGCTCGTAGAGAAGCAGTCGCACTTCAACCATTTATTCGGCTTCCCTCGCGTCGCTGTCGTACCCGGCTTTGAGCACATGGCCTTCGTACCGTACACCAAGGCTTTCTCTGGATTACCAGAGGGTTCGGCTGAGGTTCAGGTGGTGCAGGCTCGCGCTACGGAGGTACAGCCGGATAAGGTCGTGCTGGACCGAGGCGGGCCAATTCCGTACGAGTTCCTTGTGATGGCCACGGGAACGAAGTTGGCGCCGCCTGGCACGTTGCACACGGAGGGCAAGGTCGATGGCATCGCATACTTCCAGGAGCATCAGCGACAGGTCCAACGGGCGAAGAACATTGTTGTTGTCGGCGGTGGAGCCGTTGGTGTTCGTGAGTACAGCGCTCAGATACCTGAGACATGATATGCTGACTTCCTGTGCAGAGCTTACTACGGACATCAAAGACTACTACAAGGATAAGAATGTGACCCTTGTACATTCGCGTGACCGCCTGATGCACAAGTTTCATCGTGCGTATTCTTTTGATCGTAGTGTCTCGCATGTACCTGACCAAACATGCAGCAAAAATGGGCGAGATCCTCGCAGCGCGCATGGCTGAGCTCAATGTCAACCTCATCACTGGTGAACGAGTGCAAGTACCCCAGGAAGGCTTCCCGACGGACGGTTCAACATTCCCTGTGACGCTTTCAAGCGCACGTATCCTCTCCGATGTGGACTTCGTCATCCTCGCCACCGGCCAGGTACCACATTCCGATGCCATCCGCGCCCTCTCGCCAGGGAGCATCAGCGAGAGCGGCTTCATCAAGGTCAAGCGCACCCTTCAAATTGCGGACGACAAGTACCCGAACGTCTTCATCGTCGGCGACGTTGCGGATACTCCGAACCAAAAGACGGCGCGCATGGGCTTCCACCACACGGAGGTCATCACCGCCAACATTGCGGCGCTTGCTGCTGGCGAGAAGCCTACGGCAGAGTACGAGGACCGCGGGATGGCTATCCATATGAGTTTGGGAATGACACGGGACTTGAAGTTCAGGAATATGGAGGACGGCGAGGAGCCCTGGTTCAACCTCAGCGATGTTGGGTCGCAGGATCTGAACATGAAGCGCATTTGGGACACGCGTGCGCCTGGTATTACGGATTACATGTTGTAGGTCAGGTCTCTTATGCTGTGGATTGCAGTTTGTCACCTGTGTATACCGTACCATTACCCTATCGTTCGAGCTACTAAGTATCCGTTCATTGCCAGTCTTCGCCCACGCTGGGACCTGTTTGAATTGAATCGTAATGCTTCGGAGGAGAAGTGGATCTTCAGGCTACGCGTTGGGCCGGCTGGACCGCTATGAATATTGGACCCTGCCTATTTTTGGTCCGCATCATTTCGTAGCTGTAGTGATTCGAAACACGGCGCTTGCGCACTGTACAGCTGAGTACGTGGCGCGCGTTCGCTGCTTTTGATAGCCTGTACAATACGTTCTGCATTCGCAGACGTCACCGGCCAACGTTAATCCCTACGGGGATACGCAACGCAATCGTCTTTGTGGCCTCCGTGTGGACGAGAAACCCATCAAGACAGCAGGCACCGATGATGGGGCGACATCAAAACGTGGCCTGTCGTTTTGGCTCCGATCACCGTATATGGGCGTCTAACATAACTCAAACCACTTGTTGCCTTCGTTGATTCCTTGTCTCTGCGCAAGGATACACTTGCTCCGTATGCCAGTACATACCCACATCCGAAGACATGCTACTAAGCATGTATGTGCATCGAAGAGCGTATAGAGGGTGTAGAAGAAACGGGATGCGACAGCCGCTCCCCATCATCAGGCGGGGTCGGGCCCATCAGACCAGGCAGGGCGGGTGGCTGAATTGACTGTACTGTCTTATTTCGACCCGAAGTTCGTAACGCGTAACGCGGACTTCGGGATCGAACCTACTGCAGGTTCGGTAACGGGTAACGGCCGCTCGTCGAACTTGCGAACGTTACCCGGCGTTCGGGCCGGCCAGTCTAGAAGGCCGGACCGAGGCTCATACTGGTCAAATAGGTTCGTGGTAACGTTCGGCGACGCGAAACCAACCTATTTCTGGCCGAACTTACTGCCTGTAACGGGTAACGCTCCAAAGGAGCGAACTTGAGGTCGAAATAAGACAGTATATGCCATCCGGCTGGCTCTATTCGCTTCTCTTTCGATCCTTCGTGTCGCTCCTTGTCCTCCGACCTCTTTGTGTCCCCCAACTCTCGCCTGCGGGCGCGTCGAGCGACGACGATGTTTCGAACAGTGTTCTACGTTTTTCTGGCCCACTTCTTGCTTTCCTTTGCTCTCGCGCAGTCGTTCCATCCTGGCAATGTCCCCCTCATTGCGCGCCAGTCCTACCTCAACGCCCGCATCAACTCGCAGAACCTCTTGAGTACATCCAACAGCTGGCCGGGCGTCTCTACGGCCACTGCCGCGGTTCTTGGCTGGGCAGGCTATGTCAAAGTCGACAACGTTACCTACAAGTGGATTGGCAACTCGCAGGCGTACAATAATGCGACTGTGGATATTATGCCGACCACTGAGATGTACCTCACGCCGACCCGCACTGTCTTCACAATGACCGCCGGCACCGCGATGACCTTCAACATCACTTTCCTTTCGCCGATTGAGGTCGGTCTCATCGTTGCTCCCATCTTTCATCACATCCTGATATCCTCTCACAGGTCGGCGACTGGGATAAGTGGTCACGCCCGTTCGGCTATGTTGCCATCGACGCGACCTCTCAGGATGGGCAGGCGCACGACGTCCAGATATATTCCGACATCAGCGGAGGTACGCACGCTGACAATGCATTCATCGCCCCGTCGCTCAATCTGGAAACAGAATGGCTATCCGGAGACCGTGGAAGGTTGATCACCTGGCAGCTGAGCTCGACAAGCCCGAACGTTATCCACAATATCACACTCTCCAACCCGCAAGTATACACCGACATCCTCGCGCAGGCCAACTGGGGAGCATGGTACTATGCGACGAGCGCGGTACGTCCAGGTGTCACGAGTGGCGACGATGAGAAAGAGTAACTGAACCTCTGTATTCGTCAGGGCGACGGTGTGACCTACCAAATCGACTCGGATGCCAACTGTCGTGGGCTATTCCAATCGGCCGGCAAACTCAATAACACGGCTACTCCGCCTGGACGAGCCATCAACGATCGCTACCCTGTCTTTGCTATGGTTCACGATCTCGGCTCCATATTCTCCACGCAATCGCCCGTCGTATGGGCCATCGGCCACGATCGCGAGACGGCAATCCAGGTCACTGACCTCACGTCGTCGAAGCAGGACCGCGCGCTATACTACCGCACGAACTACACCACCGCCAACGACCTCCTCACGGACGTTCTGTCGGATTACTCCGCCGCGTTTTCCCGCGCTGTCGCTCTTGACGCTAACTTGACTGCGCAAGCCGAGAAGGCTGCGCCCGGTGGCGACCTTGCAAACCTGATCTCAATCGCCGCGCGTCAGGTCATTGGTAACACCGAGCTCACTGTTGGCCGCGGCAGCGACGGCTCCTGGAACAAGTCCGACGTCATGATGTTCATGCGCGAGGGCGATGGCAACTACAACCGCACTCAGGGCGTCGAGCTACTGTACGCTGCATTCCCGCTGTTCCTCTCACTCGACCCTGCACTAGGCGCGCCACTTCTCGAGCCCTTGATGCGCTTACAGAGCTCAAAGTCATACGTTGTCGGTTATGCGGCGCAGGATCTGGGCTCTCAATACCCGAACGCCACTATCGAGAATAACGACCATGCCGAGGGTGTGGAGATGACGGGCAACATGCTCATCATGGCATACGCTCAGGCGCACTTCAGTGGCGACTCGACATTGGTAGAGACGTACTACTCAACTCTCCGGACTTGGGCCGACTACCTGGTCGCAAACAGCTTGAGTCTCGAGACGCAGCTCAGCACGGATACCACGAACACGCGCAACCAGACCAACCTCGCTATCAAGGGCATCATCGGTGTCGGTGCTTTCGCTCAGATCGCCAACTCGCTCGGTGTCTCGGGTGATGCCAGCCAGTACGGCAACCAAGCCAAGAGTCTGTATACGCAGTGGAAGGCGTCAGGCGCTCTCAGCTCGTCTTCCGGCCTGCTCGCAATGTTCGGTCAAACGAACACGTACGCAACTGGCTACAACCTCTTCGCGGACAAGTGGCTCGGACTCAATCTCGTCGAGGATACTGTGTACAGTGCACAAACGGCGCTGGTCAAGAACCTCCTCGGTTCTGGCACGACGACCTACGGTATCCCGGTCGATAGCACTGCCGGTACGATCGTTGACGTGGACTGGGATTTCCTCATCGCCGGCTTGGTGAACGATACCACCGTCACAAGCACCATTATGCAGCGTCTCGTCGCACGTGCCGGCTCGAACACCACCGGCGATATCTGGCCCCTTTCTTACGACAGCGCTACCGGTGCGCTTAACGGTCAGGTCCGTTCGAGCGTCGGAGTTGGCGCCGCGTTCGCCCCCATTGCACTCGCACTGCCGCAGAAGTCATTCTCTGCGACCAAAGGCTGGTCTCCGCCATCGGAAGCCAATGGTGGCAGCTCGAGTGGTAAGAAGAGCAATGCAGGCGCTATTGCGGGCGGCGTTGTCGGCGGCCTGGCAGGCGCGGCAATCATCGGCGGCTTGATCTGGTTCTTCTTGCGCCGGAGACGCGAGAAGAGCAACCCTCCCGTCGCAGATCAGTTCCTCACGGACGGTGGTATGGGCTTCGTGCGCAAAAACAGCGACAACAGTGGTGCAACTGGTGGCTTCAATCGCGACCTGCTCATGCGCGACTCGCGCGCACCGAGCGCTTCAGGCGCGGAATTGCCCGTGCTCACATCCCCTGGTGTTTCCACCCCTGGCGCTTACACAACATCGAGCCATCCCTACTCAGCCGTGCCTGGTGAACCGAACTCGGACCCGGGTGAGGTAGGCACGTATAGTGGGCAGAGCGGGTACGGTGGTGGCGTAGTCCGTCCACTTCCAAGCGTGCCCGTCCCATTGAGCAGTAAAGCGCTCATGGAACTCCGACGCGCCGGGACTGTGCACAATGCGCCGCTCGGCCCGAGACCTGTAGGCGGGCCAGCTACTGGTAGTAGTGGACCGAACAGCTCGTCAGGGCGTACGACAAGTACGGCGCTCACGGGTAGCAGCGATGACGTCCATGCACGGCAGCTTCGCGCGGAAGTTGATCTGCTGAGAAGAGAGATGGCGGAGATCAGGGCCGCTGGGTTGGATTTGCCGCCGACGTACGAGGCTCAGTAGTGGGTCTCTGGATGGTGTTTCTTGGATTGAGCGGATATGCTTTACCTCGCTTTCCTTTGTTCATTTCTTGGACCAGCGTGCGTTGTATGCGTACGAGTAGTACTACGTACATTATTTATTCGCTATCGAGTTATACATACGTGCGCCAATGCCAAAGTAATACAATGCTTGTAAGCATACTCGTCAGAAATATTCACGCGAGCATTTATTCCGTCGCGGGTGTTGCCGGGCCCGAAATGGTATTGGTTGGCGGTTGTCGGGTCGGAAGGTCCGCTTGACTTCACCTTCATACCACCATCGTGCCATTATAGAAGCGACCCTTGAGGCATTTCTTCGGACATGCCTCACTGTGTACATTACCGATTCTCAAGATACTCGCCCAGTAAGTATGCCCCAGCACAAGACGGTGCACGGCACCCGTATTCGCGCGGCCCGAGCTGGGAATTGCACGCCTTGACAATTTCCCCGCGCCACCAGTCGCCACGATGCGATCGTTCCTCTGGACCTGCGCAGGGACAAGAATAAGCGTGATAGGAACGTGGGTAAGAAGTAATCGATTGGCCGCCCTATCTTGCGGGCCAAGGGACAGCAACGGCACACCCGACGACCATCACAATGCGACATCACCTGCCCGAGATGTCCCCTGCACTTCGTGCCCTCCGCCCGCCGGTTATCCAGTAACCCCATCTCTTCTGCTTCTTTCATCTTCTCCTTGTGCATCTTTCATGCCAGGTGCATTTTGACCTTTGACCTTTCTTCTTGAAATGCGGGTTTCATTCATGCTATCGAGCTGGCCCTTCTCGTCTCTCTTTTCCACTGTCATTCTTTTCGTATCTTTGGCTTCTTTCTCCCACGCCCAGCAGACGTTCTTTCCTGCCAGCGTACCACTTGCTGTGCGATCCACGTACTTCAACACATGGAAATCCACCACCAATACATCCGTCTGGTCGCGAACATGGCCTAGTCTTTCGGTAAACCCGAGCACGGTGTTGGGATGGGCGGGCATGGTCCGCATTGACGGGATATCATATGTCTGGCTCGGCGATATGCAGAACGCGCAACCTACCACTGTCAAAAACGTCAATATCACCGCGACACGCTCTATCTTCACTCTCGAGGCAGGGCCCATGGAGTTGACAGTCTCGTTCCTGAGTCCCATTGAGGTGCGTGTCAGGACACGCGTGATATGAGCGGAAGCTGATATTTCTCCTTGCAGCCTGGGGATTTCGTACGTCAATCCATGCCATTCTCGTATGTTTCGTTCGAAGCTCGGGCTTTGGACGATCAGTCGCATGCGGTGGAGGTGTACTCGGACATCAGCGGTGGTGCGTTTAACTACACTGCTCTAACACTTCGAGTCCTCACAACATGTATCGTAGAATGGAGCTCCGGCGACCGTTCACATGCCATCTCCTGGACTACTGACTCAACTGGCGGCATGGTCCATCACTCTATCACTCTCAGCCAGCAACAGACTTTCGTCGACATCAGTGAGCAGGCAGAATGGTGCGTGGCCTACCTTGTCTGCTCTTTGCTTAAAGTCGCTGATCATGCAATTAGGGGGACGATGCATTACGCTGCGCTATCCGTACGGGCCACTTGCTGTGCAGACTGCGCTATAGGCTCATCCTATCAATAGGATTCTTCGACCACATACCGGACTGGGGTCGATGCGTCGTGCCGTGGTCTTTTCAACGACACCGGGAAACTCGACAACGCTCAAGATACAAACTTCCGCGCCATCGACGAGTGCGTCGAGTCCACCTATTACGTATTAACCCCTCTGACCCCAGACTGACAGTCAGTTCCCCGTCTTCGCTGTCGCCCAAGATCTGGGTGACATCACTGCGACATCTGAACCTGTCGTCTGGGCCATCGGGTACACTCGCGATCCTGCCGTGCAGACTTCAAGTATCACGGGCACTATCGGTCAACGTAGCTTGTACTTCCAGAGTAACATCACCGACATGGCGACCGTGGTCTCCAGCTTCTTGTCAGACTACACCGCCGCGACCCAGCGCGCATCTGCCCTCGATGACAAGCTCGCCTCAGCTGCGGCCGATATTGGCTCGGGAACGACATATGCTGATCTAGTGGCATACGTTCCTCGGCAAGTCTATGGCGCTACGGAGTTGACTGTTGGGCTGGGCTTCGATGGGAAGCTCAATGTCAGCGATGTGGTGCGTCGGCGATACTCCGGACGTTAACCCGACGTTTTTTTAAACAAGCCATGCAGATGATGTTCATGAGAGACAACGGCGGACAGCAGGCACAGTGAGTCTACGCGACCACTGAAGTCATCAGCAGCGGTTCTGACCACGGTATATAGGCGAACCCAGCCAGTAGAAGTCCTCTACGCTGCGTGGCCGATGTTCATGGTCATAGACCCATCCCTAGGTGGGCCTCTGCTTGAGCCTCTTCTGTCCGCGCAGGATACGCCCGCATACTTGCTCCCATATGCTATGACGGACCTAGGTATGAGCCTAATACTTGCTTGGATGCCGGCAATGACTTACGAGATCTAGGGACTACATATCCGAACGTCACCGCTAGAAACAACCCTCACGACCAGGGCGTTGAACAGAGCGCGAACATGCTGATCATGACTTTCGCTCACGCTCGGGTCTCTGGTGATGGATCTTTACTCGGACGGCACGTGCGTTTGTAATGGATAATCGTCAAAGCTCATCTGCTGACGTGACCGTCAGTACTCCCTGCTTTGTAAATGGGCTGACTACCTGGTCAACAACACACTTGAACTACCATCCGAGTACGTGTTGCGTTGTCATACTACTATCTCTGGCCAACCATAACGGGTAGGTTCTCGACCGACAACCTCTCGCTGACGAAGCAGAGTAACCTGGCTATCAAGGGCATCATCGCTATCCAGGCCATGTCGGGAATCAGTCAAGTCCTGGGAGTTAATGACGATGCGAGTAAATACTCGGTCGCAGCGAAAGACCTCTTTACGCAATGGAAGTCTCAGGGAGTGGGGAGCGATGGCCATATGCTCGCGGCTTACAGTCAACAATCTACGTGGTCGTTGGGTTACAACCTTTTCGCGGACAAGTTCCTGGAGACGAACGTTGTCGACGAGGATGTGGGTCAGGGCTCGCATGTTGAAGCATCATCGACTGAAACGCTTTTCAGGTCTATTCCGGTCAAAGCTCGGCGCTCCAGAAACTCATGTCGACAACTCCAGCTACCACGAGTTTCGGTATTCCGGTTGACAGTCTCGACATTGGTACTGTGGTATCCAGTAAGCACGGTTCGCCTGGTTACAGAAGAATACTGATTTGAGGGGCACGCAGGCTGGAATCTTTTCACTGCAGCTATAGTACAGGACTCAGTACGCGATGACATGATCACTCGCATTCATTCCCGGACATCATTCAATGGCTCATCCGGAGCGTTCCCCTTGACCTATGACTCGAGTAAAGGGACCACGGTCTCGGGCATAGCAAGGTATGATAAGGCGTTGCGCATCTATACCTCGCCCTGACGACGAGCATTTAGCCCAGCACAAGGGGCAATGTACGCTCCGATAGCGCTGAAGTGCGTATCCGGGTGAACGCAAGGGATGAGAAGTCTTACTAATGCATATTCTCCAGTCTGAAGGCGCAAGCTATCCAGAACGCTTCCGTTCTCGGGGCCACGAGTGCTGCAGGCACCTCTTACGCAGCAGCCATTGCTGGTGGCGTTGTAGGTGCACTAGTGGGAGTAGCGGTCATCGCGGGTCTCAGTGTCTTCCTCTACCGTCGATCCCGCGCACGACGCATGGGCGCACGGGAATCGCATCCCGTTCTCGACCTCACAGCGAGCGAGAAAGGCTTGGAGGCAGGTCAGATCAGCAGCTTCAACGGTTCGAGCATGGTTCGCCCCGCGAACGATGACAATTCACCACCCTCCCCGACGCCTTTCCGTACGGATCCCATGCCTTCCCAGTCGTACGCGTCCTGGACGACATATGACCCAGGAGCGGCGCCCACAACATCCTCTGGCTCAATCCGCGGGGAGCCCCCTACACGCGAGATCACTCCAAATCTCACTCCCGTCGACGGCCCCGTTGCTCCTCTGTCAGAGAAAGAAGTTCTACGCCGGCATATGGCGCAGAACAGCAACGACTCACAACGGTCTGGGTTCGGGCCGGCAGCGTCTACTGCATCTCACGACGCCGGTCAACTCGCGCGCGCCCTATCCATAACCTCCGCTTCCACGGATCAGACGGGAACGGTGACACGGCGCAGCTCAATAGACATGTACGCGTTCCGCCTCCGCGAGGAGGTCGACAATCTTCGGCAGGAGATGGCCGCTATTCGCGGCAGACAACCTCTGCCAATGCCTCCCAGCCCTAATTCTGATCTGGAGCCACCGCCGAGTTACTCTTAAGAATGGACAGTCGCCTGTGCTTTGCATGGACGTTTACTTACTTTACATATTCCACGCCAGCCGGTTTGGCTCGTTTAGCTCTGATCTCTACATCCGTCTTCACCTTTTCACCTTTATCATCTACGCGCTCCTCCCATGTCTTATGCACTTCTGCAGCGATATCATAAACTGCGGGGGCACCGCAATAGTGTAACTGAAGCGCGTCGGTTTCGGCTTCCGGCCGGATCCGAACCCTAACCCTCAAGGAAGGTTCGGAACCTAACACAGTGCCGGCGGCCAGGCACCCATTATCCTTTGTGCTGTGTGCCATACCATTTCCTTCAACCAGTGAATACTCTCCTCTTCTGGTCCTGTAGTGCAACTGTGCGCTTTTCATTGACCTCTTCAACCATGGGGGACACTCGCGGGGATTCGGGCACTCAGCTTTGTCGTGCGTCAAGACTACGTGATCTCTCTGAGAACCGACTGTGTACGATCATGTACTCTCATTTAGAAGAGTGAAGATACGTGAAGATACGTTCGGAAGGATCGCGTCGTGCCGCGTGATTCTTATCGGAGGCTCTATCTCGTCGAAGAGGGTACATGTATACAAGTTTGGCTATTCAAGCTCGTTCGCGCATCGAGCTAACGGGGACGTCATATGGAGGATAAGCCGTATGGCTCCTGGCTCATGTCTTGTAGAGGTTTCAGTCCAGTCCTGTAGTGCTTTCATACCTCGTGCGTCTGACCGTTGCATTGGCCTGCGGTGACGATTCCTCTATATGCACATCGGCGTGTAGAGCATGAATAGCGATCGAGCGACCGCCTCCTTGCATCTGCCTCTTGAGTCAGGCGGGCTCTGTTGTGTGAGGGCATTCGGACGGGCTCTCGTGCGCGGTGCCCCGTTGTTACCGACAATATGACCGCAGCTTGGGCTCTCGACGCATGCCATTGTGCGCTATTGAAGTTATGGAACCGCATCGATGCTATACCGATCCGTGGTTCGCGACCCACTCAACCACGCTGCGCCGATCTTCCAGATGTGTGGTTGATCACGTCTCTAGAACATATAAAGAGCAGATCGTGGGGGCTCAACCTTCTCCTAACTCACCATCTTTCTCTCTTCCTCAGTTCTGCATGGCACGCATCGTACCGAGCACTCCTGAAGGCGCTGAGAACAACGGCCACGCGTGGCGAGCGGCCAGGATTCTCGAAATCGGTCGCCGGATGGGCGGCCCCCGCGCCATGTACGAAGAAGTCATCGAACAAATTCCGGGCCTTGGTCTTCTCGTCCCTCACCTCGAGAGCCATTTCATGTGCCCTGGTGACCCAAACGACATGAAGGAGCATCTCATTGTGCTACGAGTCTTCGACTTCTTCATACGCCCGAGATTAGACAGCCTGCACTCCCAATTCAGCACCCGTACATGGAAATCGGTCACAGAAGCCGGCGTCGTGGAGTTATTTCTCGATATCGTCGGACACGAGGGTTTTCTGAAGGAACACGTCGTAAGTGGTTCATATGTCTGTCGACATGTCATATCGCATGGGCTAATCACCTCAATTGTAGAGAGTGGCGAAGGAGGTCTTGTTTGATCTTATGACCATCATCGCTCGGGCAAACCAACACAAAGACAAGACTGTTATCGACGCGATCCTTTCCAGGACACGCAGCGTCTGGAAAGCATTCTGGGAGTCGCGTCATCTCATGCACCCATATTCGCGAACTGAGAACGCCACCGGCGTGGATCGCGACCGCCCGGAGAAGTACAAGGATTTCATTACCGCGGTACTATCTGTTTGGAACAACGTCTATCTCAACCGGTCAGAGTCTGTTTGATCATCAAGGTCGCGATCAGTACTTACACACAGAGAAGGCACTCGAAATCCGCACCCGCCGACATATATGTTCCACATGTATCTCTGGCGCTCTGGATGCGCAATCAGCACCCTGACCTTGTTCAAAGCGCCACGTTAGCTCTGAAGGGGCTAGATGGTCTTGATAAAAGGTCTTACGAGGGCTTCGCACGGGAAGCGATTATCGAGGGAGTAGGGCTCGAGGCGTATCTTAAGCGTTTGGATCTGGACATCAGTCGTCTACGTCGTCCCGAACAGATGCGGATTGAGGATTACACAACCTGGCGTCGCTGGACCTGGATTATGACCGCGTCGAGTGTGTTGCCTCATCTCATCGCTCATGGAACGTTGGACTCTCTGATCGACCTGTACGTTGAACTGGCCAAGAACTCCGAACGTATCGAAGAAAGCGACTGCGTGTGGTATTGTGTCTCGCGTGTATTCAGGTTAGCCCTCGAATTTTCACACGCGCCGCAAAAGCCTTTCTACTGACTCGTGGTTTAGTAAAGCCTTCGAAGCCCATTGGATTACCCGCATCGAACGGAGGGATGCTTTGCCACTCGTTGCCCTCCGGGGCGAAGACCTCATCACCATCTTCTCTAAGGGTCTGCATCAGGTAGCTAGACCTGGCTGCCAGGATCGAACGGGTAAGTGCGAGTTGGCTGCATCTTGGTTCGAGTAACTTACTCGACAACTTCTCATTGTTAGAACTCATCGCTCGTCTCTGTGAAGATCTCATTCGCGCCGAGAATGTCTTCCAACAGCTTCGTTCAACAAAGTCAACGCGCTTCAAGCCCGAAGCACGTGCGTTCTACGATAAGTGTCTCAACATTGCACCCGAACATTGGTACGCCGCTCTCAGCGCGGTGGACACGGCAGGGTATCGCCAGGTCATCTCCAAGGACCACTGCGAAACCCTCATCGGATGGTGGGAAACGTTCGGCGTATCCCTCGGCCTTCATCGTGACAAGGAGCGAAAGCGACTTGAACAGCTCAAGCGCCTCTACTGCGGGTGGCACCGCTGCGAGCATCACTCCGTGAAGCCAGAGGGGTCGCTCAGAAAGTGCGCGGGCTGCAACGACGTTCGATACTGCACTAGGGAGTGCCAGGTTGCCGACTGGAAGGACGGGCAGCATCAGAATGTGTGTGGGAAGAGGTTGAAGGCAAGCTGAGTGGGCGTACTAAGTGTTGCTCGGAAGTGATCGAGGACGTTCGGCGGCGCACGACGGCGAAGGGGTTACTTGAATGGCACGTTGAAGACATATTGTATGATTATGACTGTACGAGGATCTATGAAACTGTAGCTGTCAACAACTGCGTCGATCTCTTGAGCCAGTATAGCGGAGGAAGTTATGGTTGCCTCACTGGATGGCCACGGTCTGCGTCTGGAGACTACTAGCCGCGCGTCGCCACCCGAAGATAGCCTCGAGGCACATTCTCCCATGCTGGAACTGACAATTCCCATTCGATATGCAACGCCCACACGACTGAAAGTACAAGAGATTCATGATGCATGATGAAACAGCTTATCGAATGAACATATCAAGCTCAAGGGCAGAAAGTAATGGTATAGCCCTGCACAATATGCTCCATCAGCGTCGCCGTAGAGCCTGACACACCAGAAGAACTTACGGGCTTTGCCGAGCATACAAACAAGGGAGTGCCGGAGGATTCGTCGTAAGCATACACGTATGAATCCGGGCAGTTGTTCTCTGTACGTGTCAACATTCAGTAGCCGTTTCCACAACAATGAGGCTAGGCGACGTACTGAAGAAGGCGTAGTCCGGAACATGGCTGGGTGGGCAGGTTGCAGCAGTGTTGTAAGAGCCGGTGCAGCATGAAGGCGAGTTCGCAGGGTCGGGGTCAACTTGACAGTCGCTGAGACAGCCGACAACGGCGCCCGAGGCATCCTTGTATTGGAGCGCGGTCGGACCTGGTAGACATTCAGTCAGCCACGTTCCGAGAAGCAGAAGCGGAGCGACATTGATTGCTTACAGATGGGGGTGAGATTCACTGGACAGGTAGAGATCGGGCATCCGGCATTGTTGTCGACTCTGATGGGTACGTTGAATCCATCGACGATTGAGACTGTTGACCAAGATCAGCACTCTCGAGTTCGTACGGGCAGCGCAGTCGCGTACCGTCAGTGTTATCCGGTACACTGGGCGAAACCGTGAACGTGAACTCGGCAACGGTCACCGGCGTGCCGTCGACGGGTGGACCGGTGCACACGAGCCCTCCATCACACCCGCCCGTCGCGCAGGAAGCCGAACTCTGTACGGTGCTGAAGTCGCAGTCTGTGCGTGCCTGTATGGTGCATACTCATCAGTTGACTGAGATGGTACCAGGAAGGGCATCAACGTACCCAAAGCAAGCCTGACACCCAGGCGTCGGGTACGGTGAAGGTGGTCGTGCCACCTGCGCTCAGCTCCCAACCTGGGGCTTGCGAAGGGGCGGCGCTGTTCAGGTTGGGGGGCGCGTAGAGTGCGGGCCTGCGAGGAGATCAGCGTCTGAGATCATTTCCGACGGACAGGAGACGCGCTCACCAGACTGTATAGGCGCAGTTGTTCTTCACGGTGAACGTGCGGTCCGCAACAGCAAAAGTGGCGAGGGCCACGAGGTACAGCGTAGAAGCGGTAGACTTCATAGCAGGGTCTGCAGAAAGGGATCAGGTTGGACCGCATCCTGCATGGCCTGCTATATAGGAACGAGTCCGGGAGTGATTGGCGCGTTGTGATCTAAGTGCGGGAGACCTTGTGCTCCTCGACGTGAGCGGAGATCCAGCTGCTGAACTCTGTATACAATGTTCGCCGGGCTCATCGCGCGTCCGCATGTTCGCGTAGGTCCGGACGCTGAGGGGGAAAACGCGTTGTGCAGGTCTAGCCGTTATACTGCATATACAGTGCTCGGAACGATTCCGTATGCCCGCGTGGGCTGGTTGTTTTGCGACCAGATGTCTGTATGAGCACGGGCAGGGCGCACATGTCGGGCGCTTCGTTGGTCGTTCGCCCTCGGAGAGTATGACTGGGCGTTCTGTAGTGAGGCTTGAAGAGGTAGTGCGCTCGAGATCGCAGGCAGCCTGAGGCTTTTCAACGTGGTACTAGAAGGTGCATTCTTCAGGTCCGGAACAGTGGGTTGCTGCGTTCGACATAGCGGGCATCAAGCAAGTGCAACAAAAATTGGTCTTCGACCCCGAAGGAATATGATGATGGTGCGGGAAGAAGTGAAGCGCGCCCGTTAGACTCATGGGCGACCGGACGCGTGGACGATGGCAGATGTTGCTCATCGAAGCCTTGATTCAATTTACACTTTGGCTACATCAGCTAAAATGTATTATGTGCTCGCAGCAGACATTACACTGCAACGCAAAGAACGATGCCAAAAGCAAATCTTCACAAGCCGATACACCAGCCGGGATTCGAACCCGAGCCCTTTGCTGACACGGATTGCTCATGGAAGGCAAAGATGATAACCACTTCACCACTGGTGTGACTCCAATTTATTGACAACATTATAATATAAAGCGCTCTGTGCGTTCATACCCGACGCGTCAAGCTCGGGCTCACGGCGAAGGCGCAGCAATCCTTGGAAGTGCGCGTCGTACGTTCCTTCCCGCACCCACCCTCCCCTCCCTACACTCCGACCATGTCGATACAACACTTCGGCAAGGGCGCGCTGCGCGTGGCGAAGAACTACACGAAGGGATACTCGGATGTCCAGGCGAAAGTCCGGGAGGCGACGTCGAATGACCCGTGGGGTCCTTCGGGCACACAGATGAACGAGATCGCTCAGATGAGCTATAATCAGTGCGTGTTATACTTCGTGTGGGTCAGGGCTGGTGGTTGATGGGATTTGGGTGTTGTAAAGGAACGAGTTTGTTGAGATTATGGAGATGCTGGATAAGCGGTTGAACGACAAGGGGAAGAACTGGCGCCACGTCTTCAAGGTTCGCCACCGGTTCACTCTCATATCCCTACGCACACAACTAACATACATATATAGTCGCTGACAGTACTGGACTACCTCCTACACGCCGGGTCCGAGAACGTCGTGATCTACTTCCGGGACAACATCTACATCATCAAAACGCTCAAAGAATTCCAATACGTCGACGAGTACGGAAAAGACCAGGGCGCGAACGTCCGCCAAAAGGCCAAAGACATCACGAACCTCCTGCAGGACGACGCGCGCCTGCGCCAGGAGCGGCGCTCGCGCGCGCACATGCGCGATCGGATGCTCGGCTCGAACGGCGAGGAGGAGGGCGGCGAGGAACGGCCCCGGCCGAGTCCGCGGCGGAACGGCGGTGCGGGCGGCGGGGACGACGACGAGCTGTGGAAGGCGATCGAGGAGAGCAAGCGGAGTCTGGCGGCGGAGCAGGCGAAGACGGCCGAGGAGCGCGATCTGGCGCAGGCGCTGAAGCTGAGCGAGGAGGAGGAGGCGCGGAGGCTGCAGGCGCTTAAGGACGCGAGCGGACAGGGCTTGTTCGACGACCAGGCGCAGGCGTGCGTTTGTTTCCGTTTTTGGGATAGACGTGTGTTGCTGACGGAGGACACAGCAACCAGACGCCGGACTTGTTGCAGATTGACGCTCAGCCGTTCGTGCAGCCGCAGTATACGATTCAGCCGCAGTTTACGTCGTTCAACCCGTATGCTCAGCAGGCGCAACAGGAGGCTGCTCAGGTCAGTCCTTTGTTCCCAACTTGTTCGGAATGGTTGTTGAACGTGATGATAGGCGGAGTATTTGCGTCAGCAGCAGGAGTGGCTCGCACAGCAGCAACAGCAGCAGCAGTTGCAGGCTCAGCAGGAGGAATGGCTCCGCCAGCAGCAGTTGCTTCAGCTTCAGCAGCAACAGCAACAGCAGCAATACCTCCAGCAACAGCAACTTCTGGCTCAGCAGCAGCTCGTGCCGCAGCAGACGTCGTTCGGGTGAGCGCTCGCATGATCGCACGTACCCGAGTAACCCGTGCTGACATACATTCCTTCCCTCAGCACGAACAACCCGTTTGCAGCACAGCAGTCGCCCTCTCCATTCCAACCTTCCTCGCCCGCCCCGCCCCAGCAAAACGGCATCAACTTCAACCTCCCATCGACCTACGACCAGCACTCCCAACCGCAAACAAACCTCTCCACATCCTTCTCGCCGCCCCCACAGCAGCAGCAGCAATCACCTGCGCCTCCTTCACCCGCTTCGCGTGGACCGACACGCGCGGACCAGGCCAACCCGCAGCTGGCGAATCTGTTTGCGGGCGTGGGCTCGGGAGACGGGGTGGATACGTTCGGGAATGTCGGGCAGCTGAGGTACGGCGGGACGGATGCGGGGCGGCTCGTTGCGCAGAGGACGGGCGCGGCGCCGTCGCCGTCGCATAATCCGTTTGCGCAGCAGCAGCAGCAGCAGAACGCGGAGCAGCCGTTCTTCTCGATTTAAGGATAAGGAGTTACATCACCGCATCAGTACCAGTTTCTATACGCTTTTTCATACTCTTCTAATGCAGTTTACTCGACCCGCTCCCACTTGGCCATTCTATCCTCCTATACCCTCCACTCGTTACCTTCTATTCCGCCCCTGCCTCAGACCGCTACGTATCTCTGATGTCCCGGTTTTTTCTCTTCTATGCTGTAATCTCGAATAAGGACAGGATCGTCTCCCGATATCTTCTCTGTAACATCTCAGCTCTCAACGAGGAGGTTTGTTTTCTGTGTATGGGTGGTTTGATGGCGATATGTAAGATCGACAGGATCTGTCAAATTCGCAGGGAAGACGTTGACCTCGACGATGAACGCATTCTTTGATGGGCGGGCCGCTGGGAGTGGCGCGCCGAAGCAAGCCCGAGTGCGTCAGTGGATCTTCGTCTTGGACCACGATCTTGGTTGTACTTTCCCTGTATACTAGCAGACATGGTCTACCCAGGTATGTATGAGAGTATGTGGTTGTATGATGTGACCCTCTGACTCTGATACAGCCAAGAAGCACGCGTTGAAGACGCTCCAAAAGCTCGCTGAGCTGTTACCTGCCGAGGACAAGATCAAGGTAATCTGACTCTCCACACTACGACTACCTCTAATCTGACACATTACAGCCACAAGTGATCCTCGTCGTAGGCGAAGTAACGCCCTACCGCAACGACACCGACCGCGAACTGCCCTTCCGCCAAGAATCCAACTTCCACTACCTAACCGGCTGCACCGTCCCCGGATCCTCGCTCCTCCTCAGCGCCTCCTCCGCCACATCGTCCGAGTTCCTCACGAACACGCTCTTCGTCCCGCCGATCGAGCCGGCGGATCTGATGTGGAGCGTACCGCCGCCGACGGTCGAGGCGGCGAGGGAGAGCCACGACGTGCCGAGCGTTCAGCACACCACGGAGCTCCCGAAGGCGCTCGCGGACGCGCTGGCGAACGCGAGCGGCGCGCTCGTTCACGTTCTGCCCCTCCAATCGACTAAATTCCCGAAAATCCCGGAGAACCTCGTAACGCTCAGTCAAGCCTCAGCCGGCTCGAGCGTCACGGACGCCTTCCTCCTCCCAGCGCTAGGCAAGGCGCGCCTCATCAAGGACGCGGAGGAGATCGAGAGGATCAGGGTGGCGAATGCGATCTCGTCGAGGGCGCACGAGACTGTTATGAGGGTGCTGGGGCAGGGCGTTCGGGGGCTGATTCAGGATGGACGGAAGGAGGGGAAGGAAGGGGAGAGGCCGTTGTTGCCGGGCGAGTGGCTGATTGAGAAGGAGGCGGAGGCTGAGGCTGTTTTCGTTGCTTCTTGCCGTCGTGAAGGGTGCGTCCATCTTCTCCTCTGCATTTGGGCGTTGCCGCTGACGATATGCGTGCAGAGCCGTGCACCAGGCGTACCTCCCCATTGTAGCAGCCTCGACACGCGCCGCGACACTGCATTACTGCTGCAACGACCGCGAGTTCGCATGGGGACCCGTGAACGCGCACGACCACAAGAACCGCGCACAGTTCGCGCATGCTACAGGCGATAGGGAGAACCGCAAGTTGTTGCCGCAGGTGCTGCTCATCGACGCTGGATGCGAGTGGGACTGCTATGCCGCAGACAGTACGTCATATCCCCTCCTCTCCGTCTACTCTCATGGTATATGATGTTGACTGTGTGTTGTCTGTGTACAGTCACGCGTACAATGCCCGTAGGCAACTCCGGCAAATTCACCCCCGAAGCCCGCGCGATCTACTCCCTCGTGCACGAAATGCAGCTCGCCGCCTTCGAAGCGCTCAAGCCCGGCCTGCACTGGGACGCCGTGCAGCTCCTCTGCCACCGCACGCTCGTCCGCGGCTTCCAGCGCCTCGGCATCTTCAAGCGCCCGGACTCGCCCGGCAGCGGGTCGTGGAACGCGGAGGAGGCGATCCTGGCGAGCGGGATCAGCGCGGCGTTCTTCCCGCATGGGCTGGGGCACAGTTTGGGGATGGATGTGCATGATGTGCCGGAGACGAGTAGGCCGGGGGTTAATGGGACTGTTGCGCCGGTTGCGCTGGGGCATCCGAGCTTTTATACCTACTTGCGCTTGAGGTTGCCGTTGGAGGAGAATATGGTGGTCGTACGTGATGTCTTTTACTCCAAGCGCTTTCATCGGGGAGGTACTGACGCGGAATGTACAGACCGTCGAGCCGGGATGCTACTTCCACCAACACCTTCTCGAGCCCGTGCGCGACTCGAAACATATTGATCACGAGGTTCTCAAACGTTATGAGAGCGTCGGTGGCGTCAGGATCGAGGACGTGGTGGTTATCACGAAGGACGGGTACGAGAACTTGACTACGGTTAAGAGCGATGTCGAGTGGGTTGAGGGCGTTTGCTCTGGGGAGCTCTGAGGGTCCTACGAAGACGAATCAATGTATCTTTAGTTGCCGGACTGCTGATGTACCTGATAGGACCGAAGCCAATTACTGTATCACCTCGAGGAACACGTCAGTTTACGAATACAGCCATCACATCTGAGGGTGATGAAGCTGCATGCTGTATATCTATGCATCTATACAGTCACACATCAAATATCTCGGATAAGGTGCGGCATCCAGCGCCTAACATCCAAGCGCTCCGCGCCCTTCACATGCCGTGCGACACCACGCGGATCGTACGTGATCCCCATCGCATTCTCCGGCCTGGCCCAGTCGCACTGAATAGGCAACACGAGAGCGTTCTGAATGCGGGGACCGTCGGATGACTGACGGCGACCTGGTCTTGGCCGCGCTTTGCGTCGAGGAGCATGAGGACGCTGAACACTTTATCAGTGCTCGGTGTTGAGTGTCCGGTAGGGGGTGTGTATAAGACGAGCGGTGCTGAGCGTTGAGAGGTAACGGCTCTTTACAACTCGCTCTATTCGAACCCATGATGAAGTCCGCTACTTTGACGTTCTTCGTGGCGCTCGCCACTCTCGCCGCGGCGGACCGTAGCTTCACTGTCACGAACAACTGTGCCTACACTGTCTGGTTCGTCGCTTTCGTCTTTACTGCCGTTCATAGCGGATTGTGCTGATGTATATGCGTACAGGCCGGCACTCTTCACGGGCACAGGCACCGCGCCTTCGCAAGCGACGGGCTGGGAGCTGGCTGCGGGCACCACGGCGACCTTCAGTGCACCGGACAACTGGACCAGCGGCCGTATCTGGGTGCGCTCCCTCCCCCACTACATCCCTTCTCGAGCCCAGACTGATGCGATGATACGTCTACCAGCCCAGAACCGAATGCGATGCCAGCGGCTCGTGCGCGACGGGAGGATGCGACGGCGGACTTGAATGTACCGGTCCAGCATCCGCCGCTACACCGGCGACTATTGCGGAGTTCACGTTTAGTGCTTCGCAGGCGGTTCCGGATAACTACGATGGTACGTTGCGTCGATGATACAGAGCGTGTGAGAACTGACGGGAGGATGTGCGTGCAGTCTCGATCGTCGATGGATTCAATGTTCCCGTCAAGGTGGCTAGCTCGAGCGGATGTGCCGAAGCGAGCTGTCCGGCGGACCTTAACGCAAGCTGTACGAACACCTTCTCTTGAACCACTTCAACTCTGTTGGGTACTGATACGAACTTGTAGGCCCCACGGCGCTACAGTTCAAAGACGCGTCCGGCGCCGTCGTCGGCTGCTTTAGCGACTGTCAAGTCGACTCGGACCCTACGAACTCGCCCTCGTGCTGCACCGGCTCGTTCAACACGCCATCGACGTGCCCGGCGAGTCGCGTGCCGCACTATGCTTTCTTCAGTACGCATATATTCGCTTTCTATTGATGTAGAGATGGTGTGTTGATTGGTTGTGCGTGTGTAGAGACCAACTGCCCGGAGGCGTACGTGTTTCCGTATGATGAGACGAGTGAGCCGTTGACTTGTACGGATAAGCCTGTAAGGCGTTCTTCACGGGTGCTGGATGTGGACTGACGATGTATTGCAGAACTACACCGTCACATTCTGCCCCGCTTGAAGACATGTTGCCACAGGCGAAAGGGGGGATGAAGGCAAGAATGAACGATTTGGTGGACCTAAGGGCACACTTTGTATCAAGATGTACATACAATAGCATGTTGAGACCATCTAGAACATGTCATCATTGGCCATCACACACTGCTTCACGGTCTTCAAGCACGTCACAGACGCGTCCTCCCACCCTTCACCTTCCAGCTCTTCGACCATAGCGATCGACAAACGATTCCCCGCCCAGGGCCCGTAAGTGCCTACGTCGCCCATATCGCTCGAGTCCGTTGTAAGAATGATCGCGGCAGTTCCAAGGCCGATGACCGTCTTGGGACCTTTCACGAAAGGACCTTCGGTCGTGCAGCGGTACTGGACATCTTGACCGGGAATCTTCATCTTCGCGAGCTCGCTCGCGCGAAGGTACTTCTTGCGACTCATGTTGCATAGAGCCCAAGTACCCTGCTGTGCGAAGCACGGGGCGGTCGATTCGAGGAGAAGACGGATGCGCAGATAATCTCCTGTACCAGGTGACACGCGCTGTAAAGCGCTATCAATAGTGTACCTCTTGCCCTTGCTAATGTAAGTGGTGGGCGGGGAGAGAGGCGGGTTCCGCTCGTAGTTCTCGCTCGCAAAGTAGTAAAATTCGCCTTCGCCATCGATCTCTTCAAGCTCCGCGGGCGTGAGCATACCCTTTGGCAGAACGTCAAGGTAGTCGCCCGCGGTGATGATCCTGTCGCCTACCCAGCTGCCCCAGTGCTTGTGCTCCTCGCGGCGTAGCTCTAGGGCTCGGCGGAAGCCTTCGGATGCAAGGAGGCGGTGGGCCACGGCGAGACAGATGGCGTCGTCCAGGGAAGGAATGCAGGAGAAGATAGCGGCTATCACTTCAGGAGGGGTAACTGAGAAGGATCCCGGGTCGCCCTTGCTCGGGTCAACGCTTGATGAGCTGTTCGAGACAACGTTAGGCCACAGTTCATGCGAGGTGAAGCTTGAGGACGTACTAGTATGCGGGCGCGGTGTCGGGGAACTCAGGACGCGCAAGGAGCTTGACGAGCCAGTCGTGGTTACGGAAGATGAACTCGGGTATCTTTCCGCTAACGCCTTCGCCTTTCTGGCGCTTGTCTATGTTGAACCTGGAGAGCCCCGTCAAAGATGATCGTAGTATCAACAACAAGCGACTTACAGTTCCCAGTACTGGCCCATGTCTCGAGAGTAGATGTAAAGGGGTGGATTTGGTCGTGATATGGTCTGCGAGCGGCGGAGAGATGGCGACCGGAGGGCGTTGGGAGAAGACGAACAAGCCATTGGGGGAACAGTTTATATAGACAAGTAGATCGTGGGTACAGTTTCCACTGGAGTCAGCGTAGAGGAGCGGCGTCGTGAGCAGCGCAACTCCATGCATACTTTGGGGAGGACGGGGTCGATTCTTAGACGTAAATTGCAGCCGTGACGTTTGCGCTCGTGTGAAGAAAGCCTGACTCGAGAGGGGATGTATCGAAACACGCCTTCGATAGGATGTCGTGGGGGATACAGCGCGTGGCAGAGAAGCTGTCATTCGTTCGTGATGCAGCTTGATGTATCGAGAAGTGCAAGTAGTCGATATTCATAGATCGGAAAGCTGGTGGTGCCTCTTACATGGATGCGACGAACTCGACAGATCTTCATTGAAAACGTGATAGCTCCCCGTGCTCGAGCTTTCAACACGCGCCCTATACATTACCGTGTGTGCGTTCGAACCGACTAGAGTCTGGTTATGATCTATCGGCCTCGTGTCGCATCTCTCTCATCGAAGCGTGATTGCACATAGCGCCGGCGATCGACCTTCGCGTGAAGAGGAGGAATATTCGCCTTGGGCCGCGCGCGGTCAACGGATGGAAATTACTGTAATGGAAACGCGACTTGATGGCATTCAAAATCCGCTGTCACTGTCTTCTACAGACTGCCAGGGCTTCCACATCATCCCATCATCAGCGATAATGCAATCTTCGGCCATGCTTCTTCCTGTCGAAGACACGTCCTCCCACCCGGGTTCGGAAAGATCCCCGACCGTAGTGACAGTCAGACGGTCACCCGCCCACGGTGGCACCGACCCAGTCGCTCCTATGTCCTCTGACCCAGCCGTCATGATCAACGCAAGCCCTCCGAGGTCGATGACTCGCGACGTTCGCCTGACAAATGGACCTTCGGCCCAGCCTGCGTGTGGCCAGTATCCTCGCATCTTCATATCGGCGAGCACGTTCGCCCGGACGTATTGCTTGCGATCGACGTTACACAAAGCCCAAGAGCCCGTGCTAGTGTAACGCGGGCGAGTGGACTTGAGTAGGAGTCGTATGCGTATGTGGTCGCCACGTTCATGTCGCGATAGGCGCTTCAGAGCGGCATGAGGGACACCCGCCTCGTCTCCTGCGCAGTTAAGCGCCATGCCGTCTGTTGTGGGCCGCCGCTCATAGCGATCCCACGCGAAGTTGAAGAAATGGCCCTCCGTCTCTGCTTCTTCTTCGGGCGAAAGAATGCCTGGGGGTAAGACGCTCGCAGAGTCCCCAACTGTGACGATCCGGTCGCCTGCCCAGCTACCCCAATGCGCACATTTGCGGCGTTGTAATTTGCGGACGTGGAAGAACCCCTCAAGGGCGAGGAGGCGATGGGTGGAGGCAAGACAAGCAGCGTCGTCGAGCGAAGTGAGGGAGACTATATAGATGAGAAGCTCTTCGGGCAGCCGTGCGAGAGCTCCAAGTTCGTCCTTGTCGCTCTTATAGGGATCTAGGCTATCGCATCGGTCAGTTTTGATGTGAAGAAACTAGTAGTCAAAGTGACGCACTAGTATGCTGGTACAGTGTCGGAGAAGTTAGGACGCGCAAGAAGCTTGACAAGCCATTCGTGAGGCGCGAAGATGAGACTCTCATACACGCCGCTGGCTGTCCAAGCCTTCTCACGTTTGTCCGTGTTGAACCTGTGAGTCCGGCGGCTTATTAGCGCTGTGCCGACACGGAGGTGTTGAGCACATACAAGTTCCACTTCCGCCTCATAGCCAATCGATTATCTTAGTGCTGCAGTGCTGCGAGTCACTCAGAAAGGTCGTCCTATCTTTATGGCCGCAAGGATTGATGTGTTGTGCGGCACAGGAAGGGATGGGCGCGCGAGTATCACCCCCTGAGAAACAGTTGCATCTCCATGACAAGTCAAAATCTGCGGTGCCGGTCCAGATATATCGAACCTGTGCCCATACCCGGCCATTGCGGGACGAGCGCTGATACAAGAAATGTAGCATTGTCGGCAGTTGACCAGGTTTCAGTCAAGGAGGCGGGAGATCGGATGTTGTTCATCGGGTCGGGTATGATTGTACTGCACTTCTCTCCTACTACGAACAAGAATACAGTATAGCCATATGCAAGCGTTCAAGGGATGGAGAAGAAGGGCTGTAGCTGGATGCCATACTGACGTGGTGGTTCGTGTGAAGTCGCCCTCGCGGCTGGGCCGCCTGATGCCGCGGGGACACGGCGCGCGTAGTAGCGGCCCATAGGGGCTTGCGTCCTACCACCATCACCCGCGCACGAGACAATGCACGCTATGAAATCATTTCAGTATGTCGCTATGAAGCCTGCTTCTTCCCAATTTTCCCGTCATGCCATTGAGATGATCGTCGGGACACGACGAACCTGGGTGTGAATGGCCAAGTCTCAAGTTATGTTTGTATTCATCCCGCCGAAGTATCAAGGCGTTCCTTCTGCATAAATGCCAACATACGCTCCTTTACTCTGCACAACCATCACTCTCTATGGCGCTTCCTCCCCTTCTCGCTGCGATGACGACCCAAGCTGCTCGGACACTCGCCATGATCAAGGCGAACAGCCACTCCTCAAAGCTAGCGCTTGCCAGCAAGTCCGATGTTCTCGGCTGCGTATTGCTTTTGCTTTCCGCTATCACCTTGTTTGCAGCGATTATGTCACAACTTCACGAGCTTGATGTCGCGCGACGAGCACAGAAGGATTTCTCGCTGTCACCGTTCGATAGGGCCTCGTTCGTCTAGACTCGTGCGAGCGCGAGGTGTCATATTTACTAAAGGTCTCCCTACAAATGTTAAGGTTCAGCGGCTCCTCTTCCAAGCGCATCGGCGACATGCAAATGGTTCTCTGTGCGCAAAGTTACCAAGTAACCTCTCAAACGGCCTTCACCTCCGCAGAGTCGGCATTCTCCGCGAGGAAAACGAAGCTCGACGCCATCCAGGGTCTCATTGACATGGTCCAGCGCTTCAAGACTGCCGAGGGCCTCAAGATCAAGAAGATTCGCGTGGGAGTTGCGGCATATGAGCGAAGGACGCAGGCGGCGGTCACCTCAGTTTGGCAGAGCCTCGAGCACAACTCGAAGCTTGAAGGTCATCTGAGGTCTGGCCTTGTCGCGGTATGTGCCTTCTGCTTTCAATATTTCCCCCTTGCCGACTCCGATTTAGCATTACCCTTGGGCATTATCACAGTACGAGTCGAGCTATCAGCACCTGGTTGACTTGAGGGAGGACCTTGTGAGCTTGGGAGACGCTATAGAGAGCTTGGAGGAAGTACGTCGAATTTTTGAACGAACGAAAGGATACGGTCACTTACGGTTTATCAGGAGCATGCTCAGCTTGTCTCCCAACTATCCGAAGATATACGTGCATTTAATCACTCCACCTCCCTCGAAAACCCCTTATAGTTGCATAAAGGCGCCCATCAATGTTCATTGAGGTTCTCGTCACCGTTCCTGGAACCCTTGTGCCGGCGTGCACCCATTCCCATCCCTACCTCTTCTTTGCCATAGCTATACCTACAATCCCTCATGATGTAGTTTATTGACTTTGTGAACTCCACATTCTGCGTAGTATCAAGGACGATGATACACTCGCGGCTGTCTTTCACGAATGGAGTGTCATAATTCTCGCCATTTATGAGGTCCGGAGTAGATACCGCGTCGCACTTTTCGCGCCCGCGATGTTAAGTCAGAGAAGTCGGCTCGTTATTGGTACCTCTGCGTGGCGACGATTCGCGGCAAGCTCGTTGTGCGGCACCGAGAGCGCGTGGCCGGCCGACGCGGCCGGCGTGACTTGTACAAGAACGCGCAGGGTCGCGTCGCGCCTTGCTTTCTGCCTCCATGACGTTCCGCAGTCTCACACATGAATATCTTACGCTTGTCATGTCGAGTATCATCTCATCATCCGTGACGACTGAGCCGTTTTCCCAGCCTCTGGGCTCGTGCATGTGACAGCTGGCGGGCATATTACCTAGCTTGGCTAGGTTTCCCGCTGTCGAAATCCGTCCAGGCACCGTTTGACCGGAGCTTGCCGGGCCGAGCCTCGGGATGACATAATACGGCTGATCCTCCGTCCACCAGCGCTGCAGCACAAATATCCGTAGCAAGCGCTATCGCGAGCAGAAGCTCTCGCCTATGCTGCACAGCTACAGAGAGCTCATAAGCACAACCAGAGTAGGTCGAGAAAGCGGGCAAGATACGCACAGGTTCTGCGAGACTCAAGTTGGACTCAAGCCAGGCTCTCTCCGCGACCTTCGATGCTCATGGTCGACAACAGTCAACGAGCGGGATAGCTTAGCTTGTAACGGGCGCTGCAGTGCGTAAGATATCTTCCACAAGCTAGGTTTCAGCTGACGCAGTCCAGCGCTCTAG